GTTCACTCATTTTAAGTATTACAATTGACTGCTTGGTATAACCATAATAGAGCAGAGTCACTTGAAYCATGAAATAGAAACTAAATACTTAGTAACTAATAGGCACTATTTAGACACTTTCACTGAAACCAAACAGTACAAAGAGATTACTTTGATTGTTATAGTGGTCTCTTGGGTATTGCTTATTGGATCAAATAAACTGTTCTGGTTCAGTGCTAAGGACTATTAAGAACTATATAATAGTGCGTATTAGTTAGTACGTTTTATTTGTTATTTCATGGTTCATGTGACTCTGCTCTACATGCAATGTACATACAAAAAATGCGGCTTTACCTGAAATTCTAATTTAAAAAATTGGCTTATTTAGCATATGACATTTCTTATTTCATTGCATGTATGTCAAGTGAACGACTCCTATATGTAGGTACTCCAGAATTTATAGTTTGCACTTACTAATCTTATCCAATCCCTTTGATAAATCTTGTTTTACCGCCTCCAACTTGACTTTCTTGCAGTCTTGACTGATGCACTTCGAAAGTGTGTGCTTTTTGGGCTGCTTGCCCCCAAAATGTGGATTCTCTGTCTGAATCTGACACTTCSTTTTAAGCCAAGTTYACTCGAGGTGGAACAGGATTTAAAATTTCATTGACAATTATTGCATCACACTTTTCAGTGATTTCATCAACAGCTGCASTCCTTTGCCGTTTTTTACTGGCTTTATTGAAACTGCACTTTAATTAATTTGTCACTTTATACATAAACCTTGTAGTACCTTTTCCTTTGATTGACTTTGGAGTCTCATCATTATTTTCARCATCTGRAATTTCCTCTACATACTGATCTCCGTAGTCGTTTTGTTTTCTTGCCCTTTTTTGCTGAACAGGGGTTTTTACTTGAGGTWCTTCTTTGTTTAATTCATCGCATGCTTCTTTTTTTGTATATACAATGTTTTAGATCAAAAAAMCAGTGATTTAGATTAGATCTTAAAAACAAGAAAACCCAAATAAAATAAGAATGTATCATATACATCCTATCCATGTGTATAAAAATTTACAGTTACATGTAAGTATATTATAACCTATCATTTTGTCATTAATAGGCTGAAGGATAGTCTAATCAATTTATCAAAGTTATATATACGATGTAAAGAGTGTATGGTTCCAMCCCAGAGTACTTTTTGATATACCATGGTGACATCAGCACCTTTCTTTCCATGATTCATCATAATAACTTTGCTAAGACTATGGCTTCAAACTCCTCTTTCTCAAGAGGGACACCATTTTTGGTTTTCCAGGAAACTATAGCAAAACCCATATTGCTAAATGGGATATTCAACAAAGAAAACTTTCCATTAGTGAATCAAATATGGAATTATGTAAGCACTTAAAGCAAAATAATATTATCCTTTTTAAGGGATAATTCGTTAAAACAAATTAAGGTTACCCCGGACACTACCGGGAGGTGTTTAAAAAAAATCATATCTCGCGCGATTTAACCCTTTTACCGCCGAAAAATTGTGGTTAAATTTGACTGTTTTTAAGTCAGAATGATTTAAAAATGATTTCGGGACTAATCTTAAGGTTGTCAAGGAAACAGCTGCTGTTCGTGATNAAAGCTGAAGCACCATCGGCAGCAGTGTTATCGAGGCCCTGAAGAGAGGTACGCTGAGATGCCTCTCTGACTTCCAGTATCTTAAACAGAGTGGTTCTACTCAATTGATCGTATTCTTGCTCTTTGCAGTAATCAAAGTTGACTGACCATAGTTGCTCTTGTCACCGTCCTTACAACATTTGGYATCTCGATCTTTTCACCRCTGTCAAGAGTAAGAATCTTGCTACCATATGACACATCTTGATAAAAGTAAGGACGATTAGCAAATTCTACAAAGTGGTCAACCTTAGCCATGTCAAGACGRACKCGGTGTTGTTTTTCATTGGCGGGTAAAGTACCGGGACCATTTGATCGAGCATGTAGACGGGCTTGCTTAATCTGTCAAGTGGAAAAAATTTCATAAGACTCGTGGATTTTCTTAAGTGTGTTTACTGAGTATCTGTATGCGTACAAACTAAGGATTTGTCTCTTGAGGTTCCTGGTACCAGCATTCTTGTATGCGGTCATAAGTACTACCAAGTCGTCGGGTATCAACACATCATTTGGCTTAATATTTAAACTGGTCATAGAGTGAAATAGTTCATCGCCATTATTAGGAGCTATTACATTACAAAMAAGCAGGCAATCTTCTCTGGCTTTTTCTACGATGCGCAATTGTTCATCTTTGCCTATGTTTTCCAAAGGAGTACTGAGCTGTGAGTCAAGATGGTTTCTCGTGACTGTCGGTCTGACAAGACGCAATTGCGTCCATTGCTGAGTTATATGAGGTCATGATATCAACACTACCAAACGGGGTTCCAAACCCCGGGCCTGGAGTCCAGCAGGGCGTACTGGGAGGGCGAGGTGTTGGTGTCTGTGGCTCACGAAACGGAGTTGAGGATATTAATGTTGAAATTGTTTCAATGGCTACGTTTTTAGCTTGTCTGATTGAAAAAGAAAAAAAAAATCTTAAATTATTTACCTATTTGTAAGTCGTCAAATTAGACAGAAAAATACTGACTTTTGCGGGGGGGAAGCTTCATCAGACGTCATCGGATGTAGCCATTGCGCTTCTTTACTTACTAGATCTGTATGTTTTTTGCGGTACGAAGTGCATATCACTAGCGAGAGAAAAATATACGTATGGCATATCTTATTTTCTTCTTTTAAACGTGTTTTACTATCTTTATTAAAGAGCAGTATTTTTGTATTTTACAGAGCTCACAAATCCAGTATTTTAAATTATCCATAGTTGATGAATGTTTACAAACGGAAAGTATTTATTAGGGGAGGACTCTCTTAGGGGTGCTTGATGGACCTTTTAGGGTCGAAAATACAACCCTCGCGTACCTTTTAGCGCCCCTCTGTTGAGCACCCCTTCCCATTGTTTTAAGAGACCCTCCTCCACCCTAGCGGTAGATACTCTCGTGGAATTGCGAAAAGACCACTTATTTGAAGTGACCGCTATATAGAGGTTTTATATGAAGAAAAAAATATTTGGAAAAATAAAGAATTCGGTAGTTATCACATTTGTGTGATAAACAATTATCAATTAATCAATATGCAAAATCATGTCAAACTATTATATTGTTAGTCCGCTGTAGAACTATCAAATGTTTAACCAACACAAACAATTATATTGCTAGTAATCATTATGATTGATTGGTATCTCACGAGATTATCTTACGAGATATATACTTACGAGATCCTATTGGAATAGTTTTACCAAAGATAGACCTGACCTCACGCATTAGCTTCAAGTTAAACATATTGTTAAACATCAAAGTTATTCTGTAAATGAGCGCATTTGATAGCAAACATGCCGCCGGTTTTTACTTGTGTTAAGATGAGATCTACAACTTAATTGAAACATCAACGCCMTATTCTTCCCATTTATCTATTCTCAAAATTTACGTACACAAAAAAATACGGTAAACAACAATGTAAGTCTATTTGAAACATCAACAATCTTTTTTTTTTATTTCGTCATTGGAAATTTTTTTTTTCTTTCTTGGAATTGAAAAGTGCTGCGAATATGCAAATTTTCGCGAATGTTTTGATTTCACATGTGCAGCGTAAACTTTGCTAAAAGCTATAAAACCAAGCATTTCAAGGATTAAATCAATCAGTATTGATACAAATATAGTTATTTTATTGTTATCTCATTTTTTAAGCTTTCTCTAGACAAAAATATCACATATATACGATTAGCAAGATTATTGCGTTGTTTTCACAAAAACGTCCAAATACCCGATTCGATGTCAGACGGGTATATTCTTATACTCCCCAAATACCTAGGATTTATCGTATTTCAATATCTTTATACCACATCATTACCACGGCATTGAATAATAATACAGACAAGTTTCAGTAAATTGCGATTTTAGAGCCTTAGAAAGTAGACACAAATTACATCGTTCAGAATCGCCATTTTACGCGTTCTCGACCGGGTCTGAAAAACATCGCTTGAAAAAAAACTTGAACTCAAAAAGATGACGATTTTTGTTCCTCATGATAGTTAGTTGTTTTACACAGGAAGTTTCAGGAAAATCGGTGATGTCGCGAAATTCGAGTGGTCGGTTCTTACGCGGACTGCCTCTTAACATTTCCCGCCATTAAATCATCACGTGATGCGAAGTGTCCTTCCAATGCAAACACGCTACACTGCAGGTAGCTGAGATTCCTAATGAAATAGCTTGAAATAGCTAGCACGGCCCCACCCGGAACATCCAAAGTTCAGTTTGAAGCTTTTGCGGCTGAGAACCTTGCTTCGTGGGAAATAACACGGTGTCTACGCTTCCTCTTTGCGCCAGCTGCTGCTTGCGTTGATGATAGTCCACCAGACTGGTAAAGGAGAAAGCTTTGGTACCACCAGTGTTACCACCGCCCTGCAGGACCTTATCAATCGTAACAAGGGACCAATCAGCGAAAATGGCGGGTAAACGTAGGCGTTAACAYGTTTTCCGTCRCATGTTGATAGATCTTGCACAAAGACATTCACACCGTCCGAATGGGGTRTAGGGAAYGGCGTAAAGTGGCGTAGTGGATCTCCGTTGTAATCCCTCTGAACATTCGAATCTAGTGACATCAAGTCAAGATTGTGTCCCGTTGGTCCTCCAAAAGCCTCCTGCACGATCTTCCAGGCATCTGGGGAAAGCATTGCATCTGACCGCGAAAGATGACGAGAGAAAAAGTCCGCTTGGTTTTCGCTTGACGGAACGTATGACATCTCCAATAGTACATTTCTTTCTGTGACCTCTTGAAATAACAGGCGGGCCACCTTGGTCAGCCCCCGTGACTTTGGACCGCGGCCATGCCACGACTTGAGTGTTACTTGATTGTCAACGTTGACATCCTTGACATCCTTGACTACATCTGGGAGAGATCGAAATGCTAGCAGTACCGCATACATTTCCTTGATGTTGATGTGTTCTTGACGTAAATCTTCCGTCCAGTAATCACCGATTTCTCTTTCATCAGATGCAAGATGGATCTTGGCCGCCCATCGAAAAGCAGAAGCATCCGTCGACATTCTAAGCGAGACATGACTTTCTCGTCTCCAGKGGATTGGCCTATGCCATGAATCTAGGAAACGCCAGAATTCTAATTCCTCCCTTAAACCTTTGGAAAGAGACACTTCTKAGCCTTTACTTGCCTTGCTCACCGCCGCCGCCATTTCCCGTATGTAAAACTTTGCTCCGGGGAAAGCTAGGGAAAATGATGAACATTTTCCCATGATTCTCTGTATAGCCTTGAGAGATGTCGAAACTTTGCAAGATAAGATTGCTTCTCTTAACTCAGCAAATTTAACTCTCTTATCTTGTGGGATCAAAAACGCCTGTGCCTCTGTGTCGAYGATCATTCCTAGAAACCGGATGTTTACAGTGGGCCGCAAYGTRCACTTCTTGAGGCCCWRRAAATAGCCTAGGCTTAMTAACAATGAGCACGTTACATACAAGGCCGCTCCAGCCGCTTCCCGGCTAAATTTTTTATCACGTAGCTCTATACTACGAGACCAGTGACCTTCYCCRCTAAAAATCTCTCCCACCAGCCGGTCGTCGATGTACAGAGAGCATGTGATACCCCTCTCGCGGAGGAATGTTGTTACGCTTCTCCCGATGGACTGATAGACGAATGGAGAGTTTTTCCACCCAAACGGGAGGGTGGTACAGACAAACCACCACCCTTTCCACTCTATCCCAAAGTATTGCTGGGAGTCCTCTGATAGGAAGATATGGTCATAACCTGATTTGTCGTCGATCTTAGAAAGATGTGAGCCACGATACACGAGTTGAGGGACTGATACCAAGGTGTCAAGTTTGAAGGGTGTTTCCCTCATCCACAAATTCAAAAACCTTGCGTCGA